AAACAAGTTAAACAATATAATAACAAAATACATTTCTCTAAAAATTTTAAATTATGAAATATAGCTTAAAACAGTAAGTTAGTATTTTCCAAAGTTCAGAAGGATAAATGGCTCAGAACTAGGCAAGTTAATTAGAAACAATGCACAGGACTTAATTGTTGCCATTTGAAATCTATTTTTTGCATGAAATATATCTGTAAACTGTACAATAAAAGATAACAAAAAGACATAAGAAGTGAACCAATTTGTATATGTTGATACTCACATGTTAAATGGCCCTTATTTTTAAAATTGTGAATATGATTATTTATGAGGAACTTTCTACAAAACAAAAACTAAGAACAAGAAAAACGAACTGGTAAATTCATCCAAATTTCTGAAGACACTTAGAAATTTTCTTCTTTAAGCTTTTCAATGTAGTGACATAGCTTCAGGGATGGCCCCAGCTTCAAGCCCATATGCTTCATGACCATCTCGTTATTGAGTAGTAGCAGGGCTCTTCCATCAATTTCCTACAGAAAAAGGCAGTTGTACTAATTAAAAATACCTCCACATTTGATCCCACTGCCTATAAGAACACATAAATCAAGAGCAGCTCATTCCAAAAGTGTAGTCTCTGAATATGTATCCACTTTATGAAAAATATTAAAAATAAAATCTGAAGAGTGAAGTATTTGATACTTTATAAATACACTTCAAATTTTAAGAGAAAAGAAATTTAATATTTCAAAACGAACTATGTCAAGCTATGCAATTTTAAATACTGGATATTGAATAAAATAGTATATAACTATGACAAAAAAAGGATATTTAGTATACTAAGCACATGGACACCCACTTAAAGAAGTGATTATTAGGGTTGGCCAGATAGCTGAGTGGATTAAAGCGTCTGTTTAGGCAGACACAGGGGCCAGGCCATGTTCAATATCCCTGGGCCTGCCATGTGGTCCTGCCCCTGGGATACACTGAGACACCGATTGAAACTGGGTGTGGTGGCATACACCTGTAATCCCAGCACTTGGGAGGCTGAAAAACAGGAAGAATCACTACAAGTCTTATTTGTGTAGTGAGACCCTGTAGATACTGTACTAAATATATAAAAAAAACTGATTATTAACTTACCATTTAAAGATCTAATACTGACAGAACAACCTTTTTCACAAATGGAATAATTAGTTGGTAGGGTTCCCCCACCATGCACACAACACAGTACCTAACAGAAAAGCCTGCACAGAGATCATTCAAAAGGATCAGGCTATCAGGAAAACCAGATCAAAAGATACATTACATGTCTCCTAAGGATGATGGAGATGGAGTCTGACATGTGAGGATCTTCATGGTTCAGGTACTGGATCACATCTTCTACAGACCAGCTTGAAGGGTCATTAGTCAAGGTTTGAGTCAGATCTCCAGCATTCGATTCAACTGGAGTACTTGTAGCTTAAGTGGGGAAAAATTAAAAAAAAATTATATTTGACCTGATCATCATCTTGAAAGATGTGGTAAGTAGGAAGCAATAGTCTCAGTCCTAGAATATTTTCTTAAGTATCCAAAGCAAGGACTCAAGATTCCAATTGGGAAATCTAAAGGAAACCTACATAAAGGTGATCTCAGGAAAGCCACACAAGAGCACCCCACCTGCCCTTCCAGAAACAGCAGGAGCAGCTTCAGAAGTTCCCTTAACGCTTCAAACATCACACACACACACACACACACACACACACACACACGCCTTCACAATCTAGTCTTTTTGTCTTCAGGCAAATACAGCGACAGAGATGTTATTTGGGTTAAATTATGTTGATTTAACCTAACACGCTGTTCTCAACTTTGATTCAATGAATTTTTCTAGGTTTCTTTTCTCCCTTGTCCAAAATAAATTAGATTTATTTTGCTAATTAAATACAATGGGAAACCCCCAAATTTACTGGGGTTTTTTAATTGCTTACATTTGTCCTTTTGTTTTTTGTTTTGTTTCTTTGTGCTGGGGATGGAATCCAGTACCTTGGGAATGCTAGGATGCCAGGCCCCAAATTAGTTCACTTTAAGAAATAAATTTCAGAAACGGCATGGTGGCACACACCTATAATCCCAGCACTGGGGAAGCTGAAAACAGGAGGATCACTATGAATCTGAGCTGTGTAGTAAGACCCTGTATCAAATACATTAAATAAATAAATTTCAGTAACCCCATTAACTTGGAGAATCAAACTGGTTCTTTTCCCAAGTCTCTTTCATGTATACAATATGAATATTTTCAGTATCACTTTCACTCTTTAAATCCCTATCTTTTGTGGCTTAAACATTATTCTGAATTTAGAAAACAGCAAGACTATTTTCTGCTGAACGAATTTTGACATTTTCAAAAGTAACTTTACCTTCTATAAAATTTTCTCAATTCATGTTTGATTGCATGGCAATAGATGTTGATTAAAGGTTTATATTTTTAATAAGAAAATAACTGAGATATGAAATAATTAGGCCTCAACAGTTTTTAGCTATGCTGTTCACTAAGTTGTGCTGATATTTCTTTGCTGACAAATACTAATTTACTCAAAGAAAGAACTGGGCTCCCTAAAGTTAGTGAGGCAGAGAGCACATAGGCCAAGCATTGGCCGTGACTCATCCACATGGCTGACACTGACAAAGGTTCTACAATCTGAGGTACAGGATCTCAGGATAAATCCTGAGGGGATTTCACTGACCTTCTCAGACCAAAAAGCTACAACTCTTGTTGCACAGGTCCTGCTTTACCTTGGTCTTAACCATCCAGTAGAAAAGTATGAAGACGAAATATAGGAAGTAAAGCCATGTTGTTATGTTGAGCTGTGGGGGACTCAGGTCAATAATTTCTGACATTGCCAGTTAAACAGAAGACCCAATGATATTATGGGCTTCTGTACTCTTTTAGAATATTTTGCTGAGTTTACACACCTATAATATTCAACAACGGAACTTAAAAAAATTGGGGTATAACTATGAATGTCCATTTTGTATCTGTGTATTCAAAGTGGTTGGGATAGATATATAGTTGCATTCTCTTAATGAATAGAATGATTTTTTCTAATGGTGTTTGTAAGCAGGATCACAAGTCTGCATCTTGTACAGCAATTAACCACTGAGAAGAATGTATGCAGTGTATTATTTGTTGAAACTGTACTTTTGATTTGATTTGAAACTGTCTCATTGCTATATGTTTATCAATAAAACTTGGAAAAAAAATAAAGTTAGTGAGGATTAGCAGAAGGAGGTGTTATTCCATAAAATCTGTAACATCGATACAAATTATTATTCTTTATAAGAGTTAGTCAAAGACATATTATTTCTTTCCTATCATCTGGTATGTGGTCATTTTAGGAGTGTTTAGAATTATTTAACCAGAGAAAAGGGTGGAGAAAAATAGAAGGCTAAAAAATACAATGAGGCGTTATATCAGTAGAGCTATGTTAATTAACCAGCACAGTGCTGGTTATACATAATTGTACATAATTCACAATTAATAATGTTAATCATTATTTTAAGTGTCACCTAAAACCAGCCCTCAAAATAGGAATCAAACAGCTTGCACTAGTTTGTAAGAAAGAAAGATGTTGACAAATATAACTTAAATAGTGCTATTTGTAACACATGTCATTTCAAACTTACTAAAACCAAACGGATTTTGGAAAGATGATGTAACAGGCTCTCCATCTTGGCTGCTCAGGTAGAAGATAGGTGTCAGATCAGGTTCTCCCTCGGTGAGAGGTGTTTCAGATGCTATTGAGGAAATTTCTTCAGAGAAGGCACTATTGTTAGGAATTGTGGGGCTGAACAAGTGAGGCCCGGACATATTTTCATATGCTATTTCTCTAGTAACACTGCCTGGGGAAGGAGTTGGTGAGCCACCATATGGCTCCTGCTCCTCGTAGAATTGCTCCGGTTCCTCCTGATCTTCTGGTAATTCTCCGTAAGTATCAGATGGCGTCATGTTTTCTTCACCACTATCTTGTGGTCTGCGAACTGGTGATGTTGGGCTGTAACTTACAGAGTGGCAAAGTGTACTGCAGCGCCCTGACAGCTCTGTTTCCTCGGTTTGCACTTCTTCAGGAGCTTTGCGGTTGTTACGTTTTATTAAACGTTGCTTCTGAAGTGACACAAACCCAACACAGATCAACAAGTGAATAAAAAAGGAAATAGTCATTCAATACTATTTATTTTCTATGTAACATTTATCTGCATTTTTAAAAGAAATGTTATTCCCCTTCAGCTCTACATCTTAATTGTGTTTTATTTATTTTTGGTACAAACATAAAAATACTTATTTGTCATACATTTTCCAAGCCTAAAGTTCAGCATTCTTCCAACAGTTTCAGTTCCCTGTCTGCTCTTACAAGAGTCTATCAGCCTCACTAATTTCATAGTTACTAGCTCCATATCAGTTCCAGATGGCTGTCATCTTTAGAAAGCAGAGAATAATCATAGTTATGAGAATATTTTAACTACTTACATGACGGAACCAAGATACTCTGGCTCGAGAGCGCCGAATTCTCAACATTCTTTTATCAATCATATCACACCTGTTATTCAGTTGTCGAACAGCAAGATGTATAACCTATTACAATAAATGGTATTATTAGTTTTTACTTCAAAAGAAAAGTAAAATGTGAAATTCTACTGAACTAAATTTTAACTGCAAGGTACGAGGAAAGCTCTCAACGCACCAGAAACCTACTTCTTACTTGAGGCCTAGATGTAGATGACAGAGCTAACCTGGCTGAGACAAAAGACCTGGACCTGCCACTGTCCTCCTCCACCTCACCGGGATGTTGGAAGGAGGAAGCAGGTGCATCACTGCCCTGCTACACCATTCCATTTATGGTGCAGGCATTCCACATCAAGGAAGATGCTATTTCAGAAAAGAAATGTTCAGATCTGCTGAAGGACCACAGAGTGACCTTCCATGCAATGATGTGGGAACTAACAGTGAATTTTTTGCTCTGGAAATAACATGGAGCCAAATCTAACAGATGTGACTGGGCTTCTACATGTTTTACAACTGTGCAGTCAACAAACTTACAAAGCCACTGAGTACACAACTCCTACAAGCTCATCAGGTACAAATCTGATAAAAATCTGAGAATTCTTGAAATACAAAGAGATTTCAAGCAAAAGAAAAATAAAAGCTCAGAAGCACTTCCTCATTCATCCACTCATTCAAATGAGCACTTACTACCAGCCAGATCTACTTGCTGGAAACAGACATTAAAACAAACACCTACTCCTATCCTGCAGGAATGGCCATCTTCCCTGAGGAGGGAGAAGAAAAGAGATTATTTCAATAGAACATGTGACTAACACCCTGGAACAGTGGCTCACAAAGTGTGGTCCATTGACCGGCACCATCCCTGTGAGCTTGTGAGACAGCAACATTACAGCTCCACCTCAGGCCTTCTACATGAGACCTGAGTGTGACAGAGGGCTGTGTTTCAACATACTTCCAAGTGCTTCTCAAGTGTGCTCCAGTGAGAGAATTGTGGGCCTGAAGTGCTGAGGCAAACAGTGTAGGGCCTACAGGGCTGCCTTCAAATACTAGAGTTCTGTCACTTACTAGTGGTGTGACCTTGGTCAAGTTACAGGACTTTCCTGTGCTTCAATTTCCTCGTGCACAGAACTGGGAAGAAAATATCTCTTAGAGGTCTCCTGGGGATGGAACCTTACTGTAGCTTTAGGTTAATATTAACAATAACAACACCCAACGCGCCTGGCCTAATGGTAGTATTACCGTTACTGCCAATAGCGCCTTGGCACAGGTAAGCACAGGAAACTAAGCAAGCCCAGAAGCACTGGGGTGAACCAGGCTGGAAGTCAGGGAGGGCTTCTCAAAGAAGATAATATCTGGGTTGAGAGGAAAAGAACAGAAGGCATTCACCAGGTGAAAATGCATGGAAGGGCAGACAGAGCAGAAGAAACAGCATGTTCCCAACCACAGAGAGAAAACAGGAAGACAGATGTTCAGAGGGTGAGTATAAATCTCCCTGCTGCTCCAGCTACTTCTGCATATTTTTCCCTCAAGGCATGAGTGGTCCCAATAAGCATCCTACTTCTGTCCTCACTAGGAAGAATGAGGAAGATGCACACAGACATCTACTCTTCAAAGTATGCCAGTTTATCTCATCCAGAAAATTTAGAGGTTAAGAAACATACTTTTTTACATAAAAGTTACATACATACGTAAATTACATGCATAAATGTGCAGTACCTCTGGATTACATAGATCACAAAACTCTTGATAATTATATACTTCTATCAATCTCTACCCATATGCTGATTTTTACAAATCCCACAATTTTTTTTGAGACAGGATCTCACTATGTAGTTCAGCCTGGCCTGGACTCACTCTGTAGCCCAGACTGGTCTCAAACTCAAGGTGATCCCCCTGTCTCGGCCTCCCAAGTACTGGGATTAGGGGTGTAGGCCACCCTGCCCAGCTCCACAAAATACTGATAGGCTGCAATTTTGTTTCAGTGCAGATACCTTGATCTGCATTGAAGCATATACTAAATTTTATCCAAATAGCCAATTTCATTGAAATATTTTATAGGGGAAATTACTCAATATTGAATAATCTAGATGAAAGACACACTTGATCAATAGTTTTTAAAAAAATCTCTAAAGTTCATATATTGCTATTTCAAAAATTTCATCTGCAAATACTACTGTAACTAGAAATTGCTAAAATAATCACAATGGTGTGATAATAATAATTCAATATTTCAAAATTTCAGTAACTTTTCCACTTCTTCTTTATAGGAGATAAAGAGATTTTTCACTGTAACATTTCCAAAAACACATTAAAGAGAATTTTCATACCTGACAATAGCCAAGGATTTCCATAAGTGCTTTTATTGCGTCTTCAATCTGGAATGTAGCTACTTGAACATTTTCCTGCTATATTTTAAAAGAAGTTAATGTTTTACTTCTGTAAAAGATACACAAGTACGAGGAAGGAAAAACTACCTTATCTGTTTAAATTGTTTTTATTTTCACTAATCTTTCAAAAGCTTTAACATAAAGCAGAGATAAAAATAAAAATTCACACTCTCATGAGGATGTAAATAATAATTACCAACTAAGACAAGAGATAAGGAAAGAACTGACATTTTTAAAAAATGTCATTTTAGATTTTGAGTACAAAATTGCTCTGAATTTCTTATCACATAAGAGGAGAAATAAAACAATAAAGAGCTTGTTGTCTAATCAAAGAAAGCATACAAATTCAGTAAGGAGAAATATTTTCTTAAGTATGAGTTTGCAGAACACTGTAGTATATAAAGAATTTAAATCTTTTTTCTTCAAAATGGTAAAGATTGATAGCAAGTAATATTACTTACACTATTTTCCTCTGTAAAGTCATAAAGAATGGTGCTCTGTTCATGAATAGCACTTTCATCAGCACTGTCTCCAGTAACATCCACTTGTAGGCTTGCCTGAGGAATAGTAACAAGGGAAAAAATAAAACATACAACTAAAAGAAAAGTTGAGGAATTTAATTACATTTTAAAGAAACTCCACAGGCCTACTTGTGATATCAAAGGACCTTTGCCCATTTTAAGTACTATGACTACATGACGAACGTACTTGCAAAATTGTGTTCTTACTAACACTTTTACACCTAAGACATTTTCCACTGAGCTTAACCCTTTAGGGTAGAAAGGCTGATCTGTACTAAAACTTTTAAAAGCAAACATTTCAGGCTGGGGAGATGGCTCAGTGGAACAAGCACTTCCCTGGCAAGTGCAAGGGCCTGAGTTCAATCCCGGGTTCTGCCCCCCCCAAATAAATAAATAAATAAAATAAAAGCAAATATTTCTAAGCATAAAAGAATGTTACATGTGTTTGATTTTTAAACAATCCAACAGTGCCACTATGTGGATAAAACAGGAAATACGTAAGCACTTATTTTTCTCGGTAAGTTAAATTTTAAATCACTTTAAAACATTTTTAGGAAAGACAGGGTATAAATAGCCATTAAATTTCAATCTAATAAGTTTAGTCTAAGAATCAAGTATGAATTCTAGAAATAATTTTAAGATAAACACACTTGGATAGTTTTTCAACCTTTTGGCTAAGACTAAGTGTAAATAAAACCACTTGGTATCTATGTCTTTGTTTCAAAATACATGACAAATTACCTGGAATTGAGCTAGGCATTATTATGTATTTTAAAACACCATATTACTCTTGTGTGGTGACTTGTGCTTTTCAAAGTGCTTTCATATAATTATGTCAAAACTGACTCTTGGGAGGTACTTAACATTATATCCAAAGATGAAAAACATCAGGTGGCATTAAGACTAAATGTATTTTACAAGGAGCTACACTTACATAGTTTAGTAATCTGTATTTTGGTTCACAGCCAATAGAAACACAACAGTATGTAACACAAAAGCAAAAACAGCACAATCACTTAGAAAAACTATTTGGGAGATTCCCATGAAACTAAATTTACATCAACTCTATGATCTAACAATTCAACCTCAGTTTACTCCCAAGAAATGTTGTTCACAAATACACTTGTACCCTGATGTTCACAGAAGTTTTATACTTCATTGTCAAAACTAATAACAAGGGCTGGGGAGATAGCTCAGTAGAATAAGCACCTGCCTGGCAAGAGCAGGGTACTGAGTTCATTCCTAGGTACAAAAAAAAAAACAACTTCACTTATGATCTATGCATTTCACTGCATTTCACTGTAATTAATTTAGAAAAGAACTATATAGTATTATAAAAAGAATAGAAACATTTTATATTTAATATACAAACCACAGTAACCTCATCGGTGGTGGAATCCATTGTACACTAGGAGGAATCCCACGTCCTCTCAGTTAAGCCTAATTATTTGTAATGTCGCTGGTTATTTGTTGAACTGCTTAGTCACCTAAGAGTGGCAAACCTGCCCCTGAAAAAACAGTACATAAAACAGTTATTACACATGCTTGTTATCTAAATAACCTTAATGCTGATATGCCTTAAGAATGACACCTCAAATGAAATTGGAATTTTAGTTGGCTATCTGCCATTTCATATTAGGCAAAATTTGCAACCTGTAAAATCGGAATAATGTGCACCTCACTGAGCTGTGTAAGACTAAAATGACAGGTGCTTAGGGTCATGTCTGTTAACGGCAAGCGCACCATATATTTTAGCTCCTTTTCACCTCTCTCAATGAGGTGCAAGATTGTAGCTTTCAAAACCTTATAACTGCGGTCTAAGCGCCTGCTTGGCAAGCACAAGGACCCGGGTTCAATCCCTAGTATCACATGCCGCGCTGGCCCCGGAACCCTGGGTGCCGAGCCAGCCACAGAAACTGGGTGTGGTGTCATACGCCTGTGGTCCCAGCGCTGGGGAGGCTGAGACAGGAGGAGCACCACAAGTCCGAGCTCCGTTGCGAGACCCTGTATCAAATAAATAAGTAAAAGATTTTTAAAAATTAAAAAAGACATTATCATAGAGCCCAACATAAGTAGATCATGCAAAATAAATTTCAGTCTTTAAATCCAAAACCCTGCTCAAATGGGTTTACTTTAAATGAAACTCTTATTTTACAATAGAAATTCAAACTTTTGACAAGGCAAGAAAACAAGCGCTGATTTTTTTCAAAAGACCCATTCAAGGACATTAAAGACGTTTCCAAAAGTCATGTGAAGATTCACTCCTCCACGCAAGGCACCCACTTGACACCAATTTATCCAACAAAGTACAGGTCACAAGGTGGGCTGCCAACACAACGACACCCTGGGACCTGCTCAGGAAACACAAGCAGACTGCAACTAGACACAAATGGCTCCAAATTGTAAGAAAACCAAACAGCGGGTTCACACACAAGCCAAATCCTCCGTCCGAACTAAAACTGTCAGAACTCGCATTTGTTGCCCACACCCAACTTTGGAGACCAGTGAAGTCCGCGGAGTGCAGGACGGAACCTGGAGATGGTGTCCGCCGCACGACAGTTGCTGCGCGGTGCCAGCCGCGTCCCCGCCGCTCCCCAGGGGTCCTACTTTCCCGTCTTTCGTCCCCGGCAGCTCCCACTACAGTTGCAGGAGCCTCTCGGCAACTCTCTGACACCTTTCTATCCCCCTCTCCTCAGTTTCTTTACACTAAAACCGCGAGTTCACCCGTCTCTGACCACCCCGGTCTCCACCACGGCCACAAAAATCTCCATTTCCAATAATCTCCTCTGTGGAAAAGCCCACACACAATTTGGCCGAGCCTACACTCGAAATTGCCCAAAAGTCCAAGAGCCGCGCCTGGCCTCAGCCCGGCCTTCC